TTCATCCATGGAACTTGCACATGCTAGGCAAGTGCTGTACTGCTAGGCCCCACCCTTAGCCCTTTTTATTTTTTTATTTTGAGACAGGGTCTCACTAAGTTGTCCAGACTGGCCTTGAACCTGTGATCCTCCTGCCTCAGCTTTGGAAGTAGCTGGGGTTTTAAAGGAGTGCCACTGCACCTGACTTCATTCCTTTTTAATGCTGAAAAAATATATATATTTTTAAAGATAGTATTTGCTTTCGACATCTTAATCAAACATTTTAAACATTTTTCACCATAAAACGTTGGATTACACTGGAGATGTAGCTCAGTGGTATAGCATGTGCTTAGCACATATGAGGACCTGGGTTCAATTTCCAGCATCAGAAAACAAAAAATAAACAATTAAATAATTCTAATAAAATAAAAAATAAATCAGGCATGGTGACCTGTCTATAATAGCCCCAGTTACAGGAAATGCCAAGGTAGGGAGAATGCATTGAGTTCAAGAGTTTCAAACCATCCTAAACAACACAGTGAGATTCCTTTGCAAACAAACAAAAATATATTTGCACATGCTGGGTGCTGGGAATGCACGCCTGTAATACCAGCAGTTTGGGAAGCTTAGGAAGGAGGATCATGAGTTCACAGCCAGCCTCAGCAATGGTAAGGCACTAAGCAACTCATTGAGATCCTGTTTCTAATTAAAATACAAAAAAAGGGCTGGGGATGTGGCTCAGTGGGTAAGTGCCCTTGGTTTCAATCCCTGGTATCAAAAAAAAAAAAAAAAAAAAAAAAATCAAATTTTAAAAAGTAAAATGGAGCAGGAATGAATACTTAATGCCATCAACAGCATTTAAGGAAGTGTTCAACATTTAAATGTTCTACTCTAACATAAAACAGAATTTAAATATTCAATTTAAAGTATAAAGCAGGGCTGGGGATGTAGCTCAAGCGCCAGCGCGCTCGCTTGGCATGCGTGCGGCCCTGGTTCGATCCTCAGCACCACATACAAACAAAGATGTTGTGTCCGCCGAGAACTAAAAAATAAATATTAAAATTCTCTCTCTCTCTCTTAAAATAAAAATAAAGTATAAAGCAAAATGTATTTAGGTCTTAGTATTGAATTTTTTTTAAATTTATTTTTATTTTTTGTAGGGGGACTGGGGATTGAACTCAGGGACACTCAACACCAGTCCTATTTTGTATTTTATTGAGAGGGGTCTCGCTGAGTTGCTAAGTGCCTCACCCTTGCTGGGGCTGGCTTTGATCCTCCTGTCTCAAGCCTCCAGAGCCCCTGGGATTACAGGCATGCACTATCATGCCCAGCTTTAATATTGAAATATTTATGTTTCAAGTAAGTATATATATGATTGTGTTTTTTTTTTTTAATTCACTTTTTAGTGTAGTTGGATACAATACCTTTATTTTACTTATTTATTTTTATGTGGTGCTGAGGATCGAACCCAGGGCCTCGCCCGTGCTAGGCGAGCCACAACCCCAGCCCATAAATGATTGTTTAAAATAAAAATTAGGGGCTGGGGTTGTAGCTCAGTGGTAAAGCGCTTGCCTTGCGTGTGTGAGGCACTGGGTTTGATCCTTACACCACAAAAAAAATAAATAAAGATACTGTGTGGTCATCTATAACTAAATAAATATTTTTTTTAAAAAAAATTAAAAATAAAATAAAAAATTAGGTATTGTGCGCAAGTGAGAATACGTAACAATGAATCCCACCATTATGTACAACTATAATGTACCAATTTTTTGAAATACTGGTAAAATATAAGTAAAAATTAGGGCTGGAGAGTGTAGCTCGGTGATAGAGCGCTTGCCTAGCTTGCACATGATCCTGCATCCCTTCCCAGAAAAAAAAAAATGAAAATAGGTTTTAAAATAAAAAATTAAATGCTATTTTAAATATGTAAGACCAAGTGTCACTTTAATAAATATCTGTTTAAATAAAGCTTAAAGCTATACTTGGAGACGCATAAAACATTCACACACACACACAGAAGGGTCACCCTCTGGCCCTGCCCGGGCTCCAACACACCTCGCGCTCAGGCAGTGCCGTGGTCAGCCCGGCCGTTCGCGAGGACCCCACACAAGCAAGATGGCGGCGCCCTGGCGGCAGACGCGCAGCCTGTTTGGGCTGTCGGTGACCCTGGGCCCGGGCTCTCGTAGCTACCGGGCGCCGCCGCCCCCGCGCCGCTCTTCGGGCCCCTGGTGGCCAGACCCAGAGCACCCGCTGACCCCGCGCTGGCAGCTGGGGCCGCGCTACGCAGCCAAACAATTCGCACGACATGGCGCTGCCTCTGGTGTAGCCCCCGGTTCACTGTGGCCGTCTCCAGAACAGCTGCGCGAGCTGGAGGCCGAGGAGCAAGAATGGTACCCAAGCTTGGCAACCATGCAGGAGTCGCTGCGGGTGAAGCAGTTGGCTGAGGAGCAGAAGCGTCAGGCCAGGTGCGTGTGTGCAGGAAGGCTAGGGGCTGCCCTCAGTGGCCCGCCGTTCGGTGGGTAAACTGGGCACGCTCGGTAGGGGGCGTGGACTTAAGCGCATGCTCAAGTAACAGCAAAACTCATCTGCAGATGTTTACTGAGCCTTACTATGTCAATGACCTGTCCTAGGCGCTAAGGACATAGCAGGGAACAAAACAGACAAGATAGTTTTAGATGGCAACAAAAGACCGTTAGGAAGATAAACAGGGTGGGTTGCATTCTGGAGGACGACTTCGGTTTTGGAAACCTGGGGTGCCTCTGAGAAGGTGATGTTTAAGCAGAGCCCTGGGTGATCAGGCAGTATGGAGCGACTTCAGGTAGAGAAGCAACTGGTGCAAAGGTCCTGAGATGGAATCGTGTTTTAAGGAATAGCCAGGAGCCCACTGTAGCTAGAAAAGAATGAGAAGTGAGGTTGTGACCTCAACTCCAGACCTGGAACCCAGAAGTCGGATTTGGAAGCCGATCTGAAGGATTAGATTTTAGGGAAGAATGGAGGTGCGATTGGGTGCATCTGGTTGATGCTACTTCCTGGGGGAGGGGCCTGGTCAAGTGTGTTCCTGGTGTTTAATCTTCTTGTCCTTCCAACAGCCTTAGAGGAGAACATCACTCATTTTAGAGATGAGGAAACAGGCTTGGGAAAGTTAGATGTCCAATCACATTGGCAGTCAATGGTGCAGCTAGGTCTCCAGTATCTCTGCCCCTCCCCCTAGATAACCCTGGCTCCGGAGTTAATTCTTCAGTTTCACTTTTCTAATTCTTGAAATGGGGCTATCATGGGTATCTACAAATTCACAGGACAGGATGGAAACGTCCAATGTTTCTTGCCTTCACTCCTGTGCCTTAGACTTGGACCTGGCATACAGTAGGTACTCAATGAAGTCTGGAATGGAGGAGTGAAGTTATCTATGGGAATGGCACTTGGATGGCTCAGTAGACAGCTCAATGAAATGTTGGGCTGACTTGGCATCAACCCCTGGGGATTTTTGGAGCTTGGCCCACCCTTGTGCTCAAGTTCACACGCAAGTTACACAGACCTTCATGTCTGTTTCTTCACTTGTCAAGTACTTTTCCCGACAGTTAATGGCAACGAATAGTCTTCTCATGTTTTTCATCACAGTGGAGTTGGGAGAGGCAGGTGGTGGGCAGAGGCCTGGTGTGTGGGGGGGTCTGCTCTGGCAGTGTCCCTGCCCTCATTGCCCTCCCTCCTTCCCCTGCAGGGAGCAGCACATTGCAGAATGCATGGCCAAGATGCCACAGATGATTGAGAACTGGCGACAGCAGCAGCGGGAACGCTGGGAGAAGGTGCAGGCAGACAAGGAGAGGAGGGCCCGACTGCAGGCTGAGGCCCAAGAGCGCCTGGGCTACCACGTGGACCCAAGAAGCACCCGCTTCCAGGAGCTGCTACAGGACCTAGAGAAGCAGCAGCGCAAGCGCCTCAAGGAAGAAAAACAAAGACAGAAGAAGGAGGCGAGAGCTGCTGCATTGGCTTCTGCTGCAGCAGCACAGGACACAGTAGCCTCTGGGGCCCCCAGCTCCTGAGCTGTCTTCCCAATAAAGCCTGCTGCCTGACAGATCCGCCTCAAAAGGCTGTGTCCTCTCTCAAATTGCCTCCCTGGGTCCCCTGGTTTCTTCCCTGAAACCTGGGACTAGGGATTCCCACAACTGGCTCTGTTCATACTGGGATGATAGACCACTAACGGGGGGGCTTCAGAGGAAAAGAAAGGGAGATTTGATGGGCAAATAATGGAGGAGCAGATGGCAGCAGAGAAGAAGGCTTCTGTTTACCAACATTAATCTCCAGTAATTAGCCAATTACCAGGGGGGAAGTGCAGCCAAAACAGAGTGCCATGATGATGGTGGGGGGCAGGGAGAAGCAGCCATTCCAAGGCTGAGCTGGGGCCAGGGCCCAAGGCCTGGGAATGAGACAGCTTCAAGGGGGAGGAGACACTGGGGCCCCATCTGCAGGAGCTCACAGGCCCCTCTCCCCCTTGTTGGCATTTCTGCATCTCCTGTGCCCAGCTAGCTTCCAGACCCAGGCAAGCTGGCCTGGGAGGCCCCAGCAGGCAAGGACCATTGTTAGGGCTGGTTTTTAAAACTTTATTCACTTCAAAACCTTTATCAGAGACACGGTTCTGTTCTGAGGTTGGGGTGGCCTTGGCCTCCAGGGCTGTTAGCTCTTCTGCAGGCTGGAGGCCAAGGCCAGACTGGGAAGGGGGCCTTGGGCCTCTCGGAGCTCACCCCAGATGGAAAGATTTAGGCCACTCCAATGGAGGATCAAAGTTTGGGGCTCCAGCTTCCCCTCATCCTGGAAGAGGGAGGGGTGGGAGGGTCCTCAGGGGCGCTTCGGGGGATGGGGAAGCAAGCAGCCGCCTCTCCATCTGGCTGCAGGGAGCTGGGACAGAGGCCAAGAGGGGCCCATCTGTCGCCTCCTGGTCCTGCCAGCAACTTTTGAGCAGGCTGGGCAGAAAAGGAGGATGGGGGACAGCTGTCTGGCCTGGGTCTTCTTAGATGGGAATGAGGGCCACTTTAGGAGGGTGGGAAGCTAGGCTTTGTTTTTTGTTTTTTTTTTTCAAGGTTTTTGATTTTTTTCCACTTCTTAAATAAACATGAATATATATATATACTTTTTTCTTTTATAAAACTTTTGTGGAGGTGGGGTGGGGTGGGGACGGTGGGCGGCCTGGCCTCCCAGCATCACTCGTCATCAAAGTTCTGACTCAGGAGAAAGTTGGCAGCCAAGTTCTCGTTTTTTTCACATGCGAAGTAGGCCTGGATCACCAGACTCTCTGGGAAGCCCAGGGCCTTCAACTGTGGGAAGATGGGCAGGGGTGAGCAGGTATATGTGTGGGGGCTGCCCACCAGTGAGGTCACCCCCCAGCCAGGCCTCTTACCCTCTCTATAGCTTCCTTCTCCTGCGGCGTCACCTGGATATAGTTCATTTGTGGGGCCTCCTCGCCTATGGCACCCACCTCCCCCTCCACGTCTGAGATGTCTGCCAGCTCACCAGGGGGTTCATTCAACATCTGGATGAACTGCTCCTGGTGTCTGCTGATTTGCTGTAGAAGAGGGCGGAGGAGAGATGGTGATCCATGTCTCTTGTCCCTTCTCCCCAGGTTCCCAACACAGTTTTTGCTTTTCCACTCATTCAGCAAACACTCAGAGGTTGTCTATTTCTTCTAAACACAACATAATAGAAAGAAGCCCTCTCTGTCCTAGTGGGATGAGGTGCCCAGATGGAGAGAGGAGCTATAAGCAAGCAAATAAAAGACCAGACAACTGCAGACATGGGGCTGAGGGAGCCAGGCAGGGTGGTACAAGCCCTTAATCCCAGCTACTTAGGAGACTAGGGCAGGAGGACTAAAGTATAAGGCCAGTGCCAGTGCAGTGGCACATACCTATAATCCCAGGAGGCTGAGGTAGGAGGATCACAAGTTCAAAGCCAGCCTTAGCAATTTAGCCAGGCCTAAGCAACTTATCGAGACCCTGTCTCTAATAAATAAAATACAAAAAGGGCTGGGGATGTGGCTCAGTGTTTGAGTATTCCCTGGGTTCATTCCTCAGTACCAAAAATAAGTAAATATCAAATAAAGTACAAGGCCAGTCTTTGCAACTTAGACCCTATCTGAAAATAAAAAGGGCTAGGGATGTAGCTCAGTGGTTTAAAAAAAAAAAAAAAAAAAAGTACCCTGAGTTCAATCCCGGTACTGACAATAAAAAAAAAAAAAAAAAATAGCCACTGAGGGCCAGGTGGAAGGGGCCTGTGGTTTGTGGCATGGGAATAAGGGTCCCTCTAGATAGAAGAAGCAACAAGTACAAAAATCCTGAGGTATGAAAATTGGGCATGTCTCAGAAACATAATACCCACATGGCAAGAACAAGCAGACAAGAAAGGGAAGGGGGAAGAAGAAAAGGAAGGGGGAAGAAGCAAGACATGAGATCAGAGGAAGGCTGGGGCCAGGCACTTTATTTCAGTGCAATGGGAAGTCGTAGTGGTAACAGTTAAACAGGAAAAATGTGATCTAGGTAACTTTTTTTTTTTTTTTGCAGTGCTGAGAATCCAACCCAAGACCTAAAACATGCTAGGCAAGTGCTCTACCATTAAACTGCAGCTCAGCCCCTACGTACATTTTAAATTTATCTCATCTGAGTATTAAGAATCTGGAGATTCTAATGCATCTCTACGTTTGTATATATCTAACAATTTCCGCATTTAGGAAAAAAGTGCTTTTTCAGGAATAGGGCTTTCAGTGAACAATGGATCAGAAGGACTATGTGGAAGTAAGAGGCTTTAAAGCTGGGAGTGGTGATCCTGATTCCCAGTGAATCAGGAGGCTGAGGCAGGAGGATCCCAAGCTTGAAGTCAGCCTCTGCAACTTAATAGCAAAACAGTATCTTAAAATGAAAAAATAAAAGGTGATGGGAATATAGCTTAGTGGTAGAGTACCTCTGATTCAATCTCTAGTACCTTAAAAAAAAAAGAAAAAGAAAAAGTAAAAGAGGCCTCAGAGGAGGCTGTCAAGGTGTCAGGTGGGCCAGACATGGTGGCACATGCCTGTAATCCCAGCGGCTCAGGAGGCTGAGGCAGGAGCATCACGAGTTCAAAGCCAGCCTCAGCAATGGCGAGGTACTAAGCAACTCAGTGAGACCCTTCTCTAAATAAAATACAAAATAGGGCTGGGGATGTGGCTCAGTGGTGGAGTGCAAGTTCAATTCCCAGTACACACACACACACACACAAAGGGTTTCAGGGAGGAGATGAGGAAATGAGGCAGCCACAGAGGCAGGGGCTGGGCTAGATGGAGGAGTAGGGCTCATCCCCAGCAGATTCACAGAGCCAGGGACTTGGGCAACCCAAGCACAGACAAGAAAGTCTGTTCTTGAATATCTGAAGTCTACAAAGCACCTCCATTGAGATGTGAAGTCAGTAATGGATGAAAGTAGTATTCAGGGAGATCTGGCTTTGTTATGTAGACTGAAGGGTCACCACACAGTAAGACCCTAGGATGGTAACAGGAGGACTGAGCACAGATTAAGAACAGAGGGGAGAGGAAGAACCAGCACAAAGGACTAAGAAGTAGGGGGAGGAGCAATAGACTGTGTCCTGGGTCAGGAGAGGGAGATGCTTCCCCAAGGACCCAAAAGAACTTGCTACATTCCTCCAGGCCAGAGACTGGGCCCAGGACCTGGACAAGCATCCTCCAGCTACATGACCCCAAGCACACAAGCTGCTCTACGCTTTTTCTGTCCTCTTTGGTAGGGTGGGGGGTGATATGGATGCACCCATACCTCAAAGAGTAGTCAGGAGAATTAAATGTAACTAGGTACCTCAACAGATCCCAGAGTAGGGGGTGGGGCCTATGCTTAGCTCTCTGCTTTCTAGGGTAGAGAGCAACTCCTTCAAACGATGGGTTGTGGGACCCCCAGGAAAGGGGAAATGGTACCTGCTATAGCTCCCTCTGCCCCCGGGGGCCACACCTGCAAAAGTTGAGGGTTCTCCTGGCCCAGCTGCTGGAGCAGGGCAGGCAGCAATGCTGGGTTCTGCTGAATCACCTGCCTCATGTTCTGAAACTGGGGCTGGTCCCGCAGGAACTCCAGAGGGTTCTCTCCTGCTGACAGCAGAAAAGGGTGTAGTGAGATACCCACTCAGGGCTGGAAATGCGTGGATAGCCCACACCCCACATGCATACTTCCCAGTTCACTCACCTGCTTCTGTGGCTGGCTGCTCAGACACCTGGCTTTCCTGGACAGAACCATGTTCTGGCTCAGGGCTCCCCGGAATTCCCTGTCAGGGATCCAGTTTAGTTCTCATGCACAGACCCCTTTGCCTCCCTCCTGCATGCCCAGCCTAGCACCAAACAGGTGAGGCCTCAGCCCTGCCCTCCAGCAGCCCACCCACCACTCATGTCCAGCCTCCTGGGGGAAGTCTTCTGTGGTACAATCACTACCCAGAGGGGGCAGGATTGGGTTCCCCGACTACTGATAAAGGCAATGAGGCCCGTAGCTTCCCTTGAAGTGGGGGAGGGGGAGCACCTCACCGTGAGCAGATACTCCACAGCTCGGTGGGGGTTGTTGTAGCTGGCTCTCAAGGCAGCCACGACCCGTTCCCGCTCATAGCCCATGGACATGATCTCTGTCAACATCGTCTCATATTCAGAGCCGGTTACTGTGGAAGGAGCAGCAGGACCTGGGTCACCAAGGACAGGGAAAAGCATCTCCCAGGCCCTCCCAAGGCCCAGCAGATGGCTGGGGCACCCAGTTGCCTCTGCCCTGGGGACCACCCACCCACCTAGCGTGGACGCCGCGTCTTCCTCTCGCCCGCTGCTACCTGAAGAGGGAACAGAGCTGCAAATTCAAGAGAGAGAAATCGGACCCTGTCTTCTGGTGGCTCCCCCTCCCCCCAGGGGCACGGGATTCCGTGTGTGGCGCTGAAAAGTGCCTGGAGAATAGGGCCCAAGGCGGGGCTGCTGCCCCTGTCTTACCCTGACACAGACTCTGGGGACGTCGTGGGGGCTGACTCCTCCGATGGGCTCTTGTCCTCTCTGGTGGTAGGTGGGGGATGGGACATGCCTGAGGCAGGCGCTGGTGGGAAGGGTATGGAGGACTCTGGGACAGCAGTGGGTGAGACCTCTGGGGGTGCTGAGGTACCCTGACCAGCTTTGGCCTGCAGTAGCAAGAAAAGAAAAGGTGTCAGCAGCTGTATAAAGCCTTAACATCCCAGCCCATCTTTGCCCCACCCTGTTCATGGCTAATCTCTCCTGGGCACACAGGCTCTTCACCAGCTCCCCAGCTAATCTACCCACCTTGGTCACCATGACAACCACAAAGTTCTTCTCATCAATGCGGTAGTCCCTGATGGGGACATCATCACTCAGGATTTTGCCGGCATAGATGAGTTTCTGTCCAGCCACTGGGAAAGCATCACGGCCCTTCTCAGCTTCTATCTTCTCCTTCAGCACCTTCACCTGCAAGGGAGAGGCGAACAGTCATTGCAAACCCTGAGATTCTCTCTTCCCTCTGGCTGAGGGAGAAGATGTAAGCCCTGACAGCAGAGAGGTTTCATACCCAAACATGCTAAGATTTGAATTCACTCAATCATCCATTTAACAGCACTTACTGAATACCTATTATGTGCCAGGTAGTATTTTAGACACTGAGGCTGTTTCAAACAAAACTCAACAGAAGTTCCTGCTTTCCCAGTGAGGACATTAAAGTAAGCAAAACATATTTCAGGTGACATAAAATATTCCACACTGCGAACATTCCGCAGTAACAGTGGTCAATACTCACTAAGGGGATTTTAAATTGTTAGAACTATTTGTAAATGTACATGTATTGTACTTTTTAAGCCTCATAAAGAATGTATGAAGTGGAAACCATGGGTCTCTTTACATTTGAGGAAACTGAGGCACAGAGAAATTAAGTAACTTTCCAAAAGTCAATATACTTGAGCTGATTAGGAAAAAAAAAAGTTTCTTTTACTACGAAAAATGGACAAGTGTTGAGGGTGTAGCAAAGCCTGGGTTCCATCCCAGCACCACCAAGAACAACTTCAATGTCTCTGTCTCTCTCACGTGGTAACGGTGCAAAATAGTGCCAAATACAGTCAGACACTCGTTTTTAAACAGAGTAAACGGCCAACAAACACGGACCACCGAACTGTTAAGAGACCATTTATTGTCATTATCATCAGTCGGCGTCTTTTAGTCATTATTGACAGATCCTCTCGTCGATGACCCAAGGAGACACCTGCAAAGCTGGTAGCGCGGAGCGCCGGTCCCGGACAGCGCGGCGGGGCTGGGAACCCGAGCTCCTAGTTCCCGCCCCCCCGCGAGGGCGCTGACACCGGAGCCAGAGCCTGGTAGGCACCGGGGGGTGGGGCCTAGCCCCAGACGGGCTCAGGGGCAGCGTCCGAGCCGCCGAGGGTCGGGACGAGGCACAGCTGGGGATCCGGGAAGTCCGACAGGCAGGGGCGGGGGTGGGCAAGAACGGCCCGCGCCGTCCTCTCCGCCCCTCCCGTTGGATCCCGGCCTCCCCGCCCCCACCCTATCCCCGGCACCCGTCGCTCCCGCCCCTGGGCTCCGGCCCGGCCCGCACCGTCTCGTCAGGCTCCATGCGGATCTTGAAGGTCTGCTGCTGCAGCGTCTTAAGAGTGATGGTGACGGCCATGGCGGGGCCCGAGCGACGCGGCGGCCCCGGAATCCTCACACAACATGCAACTCACGCCGCCGCCATCTTACTGCCCAGCCGCGCCAAGCGCCAAGCGCTTCCGGGGCAGGCGGTGCGCGCGCTGACCACCACTGCACGTGACCTGCGCGCGCCCCTCAGCCCTCTAGAGCATGCGCATCCGTTCTCATTTAGGCCAGGCATGCGCAGATTAAACTCTACCTTAAGGGATGGAAGTTTTTTTTTTTTTGCTCAGTGCTCTCACTGGTCAAATGACTTCCTGAATGACGCCATGCCCGTTAACGGTGACGTCATGTGGCTGCAAAATGGCTCTCGTGCCCCCAGTTTCACCCCAAATGTTTCTTTGTTGATATTTAACTGTTTTAATGTACTTGTTATAACATTTCTTTTTTTTTTTTCGTTTTTTGGGGGATGCTAGGGAATTCAACTCAGGGGTGATTTACCACGGAGCTGCATCTGCAGCCTTTTTACAAAATTTTGAGACAGGGTCTTAAGTTGCTTAGGGCCTCACTAAGTTGCTGAGCCAGGCCTTGAACCTGTGATTCCCCCTGCCTCAGTCAGTTGAAATATTTGTATTTGTATTTCTTCCCTAAAAATCTTTGTTCACGCTGTCCACCCACAATAGCAGGAAGCTTCTAAAGCTCTAAAAATGAGGTACTCTATGTTGTAAGGTTCCCATAATCGCCAATAGAAAAAAATTTATTTGTAAAGAGCCGCGTCAGACATTTTGTGCCCCAATTCACTAATTCTTTGAGGGATATCAGATTTTTTTTTTAAAGAGAATTTTTTAATATTTATTTTTCAGTTTTCGGCAGACACAACATCTTTGTATGTGGTGCTGAGGATCGAACCCAGGCAGCACGCATGCCAGGCAACCGCGCTACCGCTTGAGCCACATCCCCAGCCCCAAACATCAATCTTTTTTTTTTTTTGTGGTACTGGGGTTCCCAGGGCCTTGTGCCATGTGAGGCAAGCACTCTACCAACTGAGCCCAGATATCAGATTTTTTGAATGACCTTGGTTTCCATTCCAGAGTCCAGTCTTTCCCGCTCCTCCTCTGCCTACTACATTCATCCACCATCCTGTGACAGTGCTAAGTACTTGATGAAGGTGTCAGCTTTCAAGGCCTCCTCGTTGAAAACATAATGCTTCTCTTCATAAACTTTCCCTGGATACACCAATGCTCTAGGATTCCCAAGAGGTTCTAGGAGGGACCAAAGGACCCCAAAGGGAATGGAAGCATGAGAGGCCAGTCCAAGGGCATGAAAAATGGCTGGGTCTTTAAGTGGTGGCCCACACCTGTAATCCCAGCAGCTTGGGAAATTGAAGTAGGAGGATTGAGAATTAAAGCCAGCTCCCCAACTTAACAATACCCTTTCTCTAATAAAATACCAAAAGGGGCTGGGGAAGTGGCTCTATTATTAAGTACCTCTGGGGTTCAATTGCCAGTACCCCCCCCCCAAAAAAAAGGCTGGGTTACTATTAGAGAATTAGGTGGAGGTGAGACTGGGGCTTGACCTCTCATTTAGTAGGTGGAGTATTGGGGGGTGGAGTTCAGCTGGAGACAGGGAGGCCAGAGGCTGTGGCAACATCCCAGTGTCATAACTGTCCCCTATTTCTGCCAGACCAAATATTCACCCAACCAAAGCACCAGGCAGCCACCACCTGGCACCTCACCCAAGTCTAACTCCTGCCACTTCCACTGGATTCTAAGTCTAGACTCCTCAACCAGTTGGTCAAGCTCAGATAAGGGCCAAGGAGACAACTACTTATGTACCATTCCTTCAGCAAGGAACCCAGATTCCTCCACCCACTGGAGTTGAAGCTAGGGCCTCATGGGTCCCAACAGAGGGTGGTGCAGACCCCCCCCCCTTATCTCTTTTTTATCAACTCAATCTTGCTCCCTCCCATGGGGACATTCTTTCAGATCCCAACTTGGCCCTTAAGACTATGGGTCCTAGGGCAAGTTACATACCATGTCTGAACTGGTATGTAAATATGTTCAAAATTGCTCCATCACCCATCTTGTTAAGCAACAAATACATATAGCTCTGAAAATGTACCCTTTACAACATGAGGTCACATCCATGCTGTACCTGACTGACTTCTTGTCAACCCGACACTAGAACCAACACTCACCGGTTTGGTGCAGGGTTAATGTGCAGTTTGAATAGTGGCAGTCCTTCTCCCATTGGTTTGGGAGATATAGAGTACATGAGTCCTGTCATCTTGTGGAACACTCAGTTCTTTGCAGCTGAAAAATGAGTCTTATTCAGAAGCTGCTCCCCCCCACCTTGAAAAAAAAGGCCAACCTAGGTTTCCTGAGTCCATCTCCATCCTCCCCCACAAGAAAAACACAGGGGGGAGACACAAAACTTAATTTAATAGAAATTTTGTTTGTAGTTCTTACATTCTCAGTGTGAGCCGAGCTGGAACCCACTGCCCCACCCAGAAGTGGCCCAGTCCTGGAGGCAGGGGAGAAAAAAGGGGGGGGGGGCAGGAAGAGCCCCAGTCTTCCTCAGTGCTGGGGAGCTGAAGATGCCACCCCTTTCTCCTGCCCCCCTCTGGTCTCCAGGAAGGAGAGCAGATGGAATCTCAAGCCTAGGGCTTCTCCACACCCTCACCCCCAGGGTTGGAGAGTAGTAGCTAAGGGACCAGGAACAAAGGGGACAGAAAAAGGGAAAGATGTTGATTGAGAAAATGAGAGGGGTGGTGAGGCCTGAAGGAGAATTGAAGACAAAAACACCAGTAAAAAAAAAAAAAAAAAAAAAAAAAAAAAGGCGGGGGAAATAACCAAAATCCACCCCAAATCTGAACCCGCCTGGAAAAAAATGAAAGTTCTTGAGTCTCATAGAGACATTATTTGGCGTGGCCAGCTCTGCAGTGGGAGCGTCCAGGCCTCAGTCCAGCCCTGGAGGTGGCCAGTGTGGCCTCTACAGCTCATCCTTGGCCTGGCCAGTGGCATCTTCCTCCTCGTCTTCCTCTTTGTCCTCCTCATCCTCCTCGTCCTCATCTTTGTCCTCCTCATCCTCCTTGTCTTCTCCCTCCTCCTCTTCCTCCTTACGCTTCTTTTCCTCCTCTTCCTCTTGAAGCCTCTGCTCCTCATCCTGTTTGTCTTTCATCTGTTTTTCTGCATCCTGCATGGACAGATCATACCCCTCAGCACCTGATCCCTTGCCTGCTAGCCCCGCCTGCCCCCCAAATCAGAACAAGGACCCAGGCCCACCTTTGTGACACCCCATGTCTCATTGCCAAACTGTTCTGCATAGTCCTCATCGTTGGTGATGAGGAAGTTATCAAAGATGGTACCAGACTTGACCTGGAGAATGAATGGAAGAAGAGAGTCAGAAATGACACCCACAGTGTTCCACCTGTGTTTCTATAATCACTATACATTGTTACAATTTATACATTTATTGAAAAGGACTTGAAAATTGTTAATGGAGGAACACAAATTCAAAGCCAACCTCAGCAAAAGCAAGGCACTAAACAATTCAGTGAGACCCTGTTTCTAGATAAAATACAAAATAAGGCTGGAATCAGTGGTCAAATACTCTGATTTCATTCCATGGTACCCAGAAAATTTTAAAAACTTTGAAAAGATAAATAAATAAAAGACTGTGGGGGCACACTGCCTGGATTCAAATCCCCATTCTGCCATTTTATGCATGTGACCTCAGGCTGCTGAATTCACTTTTCCGCACCTCAGTTTCTTCACTGGTTGAACTGGGGACTCACTCCCTTGTTCAGGAATTTTTTAGTGATCTAGTATGCCAGGAATTGTTCCAAGTAACTTTTTGTCAATTATTTTTTTCTTTTTGGCAGTGTTAGGGATGGAATCCATGCTTCATGCATGCTTGGCAACTGCTCTACCACTGAGCTGTGCCCGCCTCCCGGACCTCAGTGTTTTTTCTTTGCACTATTGGGGGATCAAACTCAAGGTCTAGCATGTCTTGCCCATGCTAGGCAAGCACTCTAACCACTCCAGCCCCTCCATTTTCCTCTCTGCAGTGCTACGAGGGAACCCAAGGCCCTGTGCACACTAGACAAGTGCTCTACCATCTGGCTACTCCTGCAGCTCCCCCAGCTAATTTTGTGTTGTCTATATTTTATAAAATGATTTACATTAGTACTTGATTAAATACTTGGTACATAATAAACAGACCCTTATTGATGTTGTGAGGACTCCCTCAAGTCAGACCAGGAAATACTTCAGAAAATGTACCATTTCTAGGTCAGATTTGCCTGGTACTGAATCCTGTGCCTGTTGGTTTCCTTTAGGTCTCCATTTGAGGTCCTTTGTGTCTTACCTGCCAGAGATCTAGGCCCAGCACAGCAAAGTTATCATAAGCATAGATATTGGCATCAGGGGAGTATTCAGGGTTGTCAATTTCTGGGTGGATCCATATGCCCTTGTAATCTGGGTTGTCAATCTGGCGTGGCTTCCACTCACCCTGCAACAGAAGGGAATCAAAGTGAGCAGAGATGGGTGCATGACCCACTGTGACCTGTAGCTCTGCTCAGAGTCAGGTTGACCTTGCTTTTGTGTTTCTGTGGCACAGGGGATAGAACCCTGGCCTTGTACATGCTAGGCAAGAACTCTACCACTTAACTGTACCCGCGATCTCCAAACTCACCTTGTACTCAGGGTTCTGAATCACTGGTGGTTCCCACTCTCCATCCATTTCTTCATCCCAGTCCTCAGGCTTCTTAGCATCAGGGTCAGGGATGTGCTCAGGTTTGTCCCAGTCCTGGATGTACACAAGGAAATCAGAGTGGACCCAAGTGTTCCCTACATGCTATGCAGTGGTGGTGGAAAGCCCCTGCCCAAACACCAACCTCAGGTTTGGAGTCTGTGGGGTCATCAATCTTGGCACGCTCATCCCAGTCTTCTGGCTTGGAAGCATCAGGATCCTTTATCTTCTTGGGAGGCAAGAAGTCCCAATCATCCTCCAAGGAGCCTGATTCCACGGGGCTGTTGTCAATTTTCACCTCGTAGGTGTTGTCGGGCCGTACAATCAGTGTGTAGAGGTGTGTGAATTCATCATCCTGAAGAGGATAGATGCTGAGTGGCCCCACCTACCAGGCTGGCCTCCTGCTTCCCAGACAAGTCACTAGCACCACCCCCAGGGACACACCCCCAGGCACACCTTGCACCGAATATCCTTGTTGATCAGCATGTTCTTGCCCTTGTAATTGAAAATGACATGAACCTTCTTCGTGCCTGGGCCACAAATGTCTGGGCCTAGATGGGATTGAGTGAAAGTCACAGGCTGCCCCTTGCTGGACACACAAAAACAATTCTTAAACTCAAGACAAAAGATGTCAATGTAAGAGGCTGAAAAAATGAGGTGCAAATCCTGATTCTGCCATTAAGGGGCTATGGCAAGAGTCTTAAGTAAAACAAAAACAGAAGAGCAAAACTCTAAAATTCATTATCCTCACTTGTGAAATCAGGACATACCTAGATATGAGCATACAAATTTGTCTAGATCTGCAATCATAACACAGGAAGACACTACCTGTCACCTACCCCTTTAGCTATCCCAGACTCTCCCCACCCTGACCTCTAGCTACCCCTCCAAAGGAAAAAAAAATTCCTGATTACTTAAGTGCTTTCTATGGTCTTATGAATTCTTCTGGGTTAGGAGGAATCCAAGAAGTTTCATTCATTCTCCACCTTCCAACTGAGAGGACAGTGGTCAGCACCGGGGTGGGGCCCCTCACCGAACATGATGTTGTATTCTGAATCTCCATGCATGTCTGTCTGGTCCAAATTATCAGGAAACAGCTTCACGTAGCCACCCCCACAATCAATGTTCTGCTCATGCTTCACAGTGAACTGCACCACCAGCGTCTGGCCCTTGTTGCTGAAAGGTTCGAATCTGGCCGACAGGGCATAAAAGCGGGCATCCTGGCTGGTCTGCAGCCCTGATATGGGATGGGAGTGTGATTACTGTTGAGCTCCAACCCGGGGAAACTAGACCTCCCATGACACAGACGACTCTCCCCAACCTTCCTTCCTCCACCTGCCCAACTCCTGGGGGATGCCCGGGTTGGGTGCGTACTGACTACAGCTTCCGCCAAAAAAGTCCTCCTGGATCCCAGCACCCACTCCCTGGCTCTTACCTTTATCCTTCTCCTGGTCACCGTAGAACTTGCCGGAACTAAGGACGAATTTGCCAAAATCTGACTTGTGTTTGGATTCGATCCAGCGGTAGGTCCACTCGTCTAGGGGGTCAGAAGAGTAGATCAGTGCGGTAGTGCTGACTACCCCCACCAACACCTGCCTGAAGCCAAAAGCAGTTGGGGGGCAGGAAAGGAGATCCCTGCCTCTTCCCATCCCAACCTCCAGTTTGACAACTCTGGAGACTCAGAGATCCTGGGGCGAACCCTAACTCCCACCGCAGGAGGCCGCTGCATCTTCCACGTTCCCCAGGGACGCAGAAGAGGAATCGCCCGCGGCTATAGTCTCCAGGGACTTCTATGTTGGCCCTCTGAGCGGTAATTACAGGCGACAAGGCAGTTCTGGGCTGGGGGACAGGCCGCGTCGTCGAGGCGGCCTTGAGGACAGACCAGCCGTTACCTCCGTCCAGAAACTGCTCCTTGAAGTACACGGAGGGCGCGGCGGCGACCAGGCCGAGGAAGCCGAGCAGTATCGGCACAGGTAGCAGCATGGCGGGCCGAGGGGGCGGCGGCGCGCGGGCCCTTTAAAACGATCCTCCAGCAGCGGCTCTGCAGTACGGACGGACGCCGTCGCCGGCTGCGCGATTATATATCCGCCCGCCTCTCAAGTCAACCTGACTCTGCCTTTGGGCCCGCCCCCACACCTTGTCATTGGTCTACAACCACAACCGTCCCTTTTCATTTGACCCTTGTCGGGTCAGCAAGTTAGGCTGTGCCTCGGAACGCAGGGATCCCAGATGGCCGATTTCTATTGGTTGCGCTACCGGCCAATGAGGGTTGACCACGCGTTGTGGGGGACGCCCACCGACGGGGTGGGGGCCGCTAGCCCCTCGAGCCGGGTCAGGTGACCAGGTCTCAGCCCAAACGCGGCCTCCCCCGCGCGCGTCGCTCCCATCTGGGCGTTTAAAGAACCCGCGCGAGCGTTGTTGCCGGGCGGGATGGGGATCCTGTCCCAGCTTCCTCCGTCCCCTCTCCTCTGCGTGGAGGGGTGGAAAGTGATTTCCTAGCCACTTTCTATCCTGTATTTGGGGAACCCTCCGCCCGGACGCGATCTTTCCTTCCAGGTTGGTGCACGGGGCACCATAGTTCAAGGACTGGGGCTTCACTATATCCCGGTGTTACAGCCATGCGAGTAGCTGGGGAGGGTGCCAACTTTCTCCTACCCACTAGTGCTCTGGCAATCTGTCACACTGCTGCTGTGTGCCCTAGGGCAAGTCACTTAGCCTTTCTGAAATCATCAAAGCTCCTCAGAGACCAGGAGGGGCGACTCAGTTGCTCTCCCGCAGAAAAGCTTTCAGTGGTGTCCAGGGACAGAAAAGAGGAACCACAGAAGACTCAAATAAGTGACTCTGCAAACTGTGACTCCTGAGTTGGAGATAGGACTATTCCTCTAGTTGCTGGCTGTTTTACTTTCCTCTCAGTGGGTAAATGAAGGGGGTCTCTGTCTTGTGGTCTCCCACAAACGGCCAGGCTTTTGCAATTAAACGGCTATGGGCAGAGACAGGGGGTTCCGTTTAGGAAGAAGAAGGAAAGACACAGATGTTTATGGAGATAGAGCCCTAAGGAGATAAGCAGAACCCTTGGATCTAGAGTCTTCTTCTGAAGACGTGACTGACACTAGTTCCTTCCCCCCACACACACACTCTATGAGGAGGAAGGAGAGCTAGGGGTTTTCCAAACGTTGAGCAAATTGGTTCTGGACCTGGGTACGCTGGAGTGGACTGGGGGAAGGGTGACTCCTGGCAAAGGGTGGAGAGGGGTTGCTTCCTCACTAGTGCTGGGAAATCAGAAGGGGAGGAATAATGAGTTGAAGTTGGGGCTCTGCAGGTCCACACAGGCGTGGCCACTATTTAGAATTTTCCAACCTAGTCCCACGCCGGACGATGCCCAAGCCCACACTGACTGACCTTTTCACTTTACCTCCTGTCCTGTGTCATGGATACATGAGCTTGGCGCTTTCTCCCTGAGCCCCCACCTGCAGCACCTGCAAAGCACACTTAAAAACTACTTGGTGTGTGATGGAAGAAAGGAAGGATTCTTGTAGAAATAAATAAACCAAACCTGGGAAAGTGCTTTGAAGCTGAGAAGAGAACTTTGAGGAAAGTGACCTGAATAAAGGAGCTCATCATAGGATCAGAATTGGGAACTATTAGTAATCACATATGATAGGTTCGACTAATTGTGATGTGAAATGAGTAAATGTGTTCAGTTTATAACAGTGCCTCAAAGGCCATGGTATTAGCTCAGTGGTGGAGTGCTTACCTAGCACTTGTGTGAGGCCCTGGATTCAATCCCCAGCACTGCCAAAAGAGAGGAAGAGTTCCGCAAGGCTGGAGATGTGTCTCAGTGGTACAGTGTCAGCTTAGCAAATGAGAGGCCCTGGGTTTGATTCCCAGCAGTGTCAATAAATAAATTAATTAATTAATTAAATAAAAGGTGCATGGTCTATACTTGATTTAGTATTAGCAAATATTATGTACATATGTGCATGATATATCATTTCTTATAGTAACCTGGGCTCACCAAGCATGGGGGCAGACGCCTGCAATTACAGTGGCTCGGGAGGCTGAGGCAGGAGGATCATGAGTTCAAAGCGAGGTGCTAAGCAACTCAGTGAGACCCTGTCTGTAAATAAAATATAAAATAAGGCTGGGGTTATGGCTCAGTGGTCAAGTGCCCCTGAGTTCACTCCCCAGTACAAAAAATAATAATAATTAAAAATTAAGGGCTGGGGTTGTGGCTTAGTGGTAGAGTGCTTGCCTAGCATGTGTGAGGCACTGGGTTTGATCCTCAGCACCACATAGAAATAAAGATATTGTGTCCACCAATATCTAAAAAATAAAATATTTTTAAAAATAATAATCTGGGCTCATAGAATCTCTGTCAAGAAAGAAAAAGTTGAAGCTCATAAAAATTAAACATGGGGCATGGGGTGAACCCAGGGGTACTTTACCAATGAGCTACACTCCCAGCTCTTTTAATTATTATTTAATTAAATTAATTGGTTAATTTGGCACTAAAGATTGAACCCAGGGGGTGCTTACCACTAAACTACATCCCCAGTCCATTCTGTTTTTCATTTTGAGACAGGGTCTGGCTAATTGTCCAAACTGGCCTCAAACTTGCAATCCTCCTGCCTCAGATTCTGGGGTAGCTGGGATTATAGGTGTGCATCACCATGCCTGGTTAAGATTAAAGCAGTTTGGGGGCTGGGGATGTGGCTCAAGTGGTAGCGTGCTCACCTGGCATGTGTGTGGCCTGGGTTCGATCCTCAGCACCACATACAAACAAAGATGTTGTGTCTGATGAAAACTAAAAAATAAATATCAAAAAAAAAAAAGATTAAGCATTTTGGTGATTAACTTAAGCGGCAGATGTTAGATTAGAAAATAACAGTGTTCCAGGGCTAGGAATGTAGCTCAGTGGTAAAGCATGCACTTAGGATATGCTTGTACCACAATAAAACAAAACTCCCCTCAAAAGTATTTCTTTTTCTTCATTCCTCTCTTTCTCCAACTTTTTTTAGATACGGGTCTTGCTATGTTGCCAAGGCTAGCTTCAGATTCATGAACTCAAGCAAGCCTCCTGCCTGAGCCTCCTGATTGCTGGGATCACAGGCTTGTGCTATCCCTGAGCTACCTGTATTTATGACATAGTTGTCACTGGTCACATATGACTATTGGTCATTTGAAATGTGGCTGATCCCAAATGAGATGTGCTGCATAAAATACACATCAGAGTTTGAAGAAAATATGAAAAAAAAATTGTGCAAAATATTTCATTAGTAATCTGTATTGTAAGGGTTGAAAAAATAACCTGGACATAACAGGTCATGTAAATTCTCAAAGGGAATTCCACCAGTTTATTTCTTTCTAATATTTTCTTAGTTATCAACAGAACATTATTTAATTTATTTATTTATATATGGTGCTGAGAATCAAACTCAGTGCCTTGCACATGCTAGGCAAGCACTCTACCACTGAGCTACAACCCCAGATGCCACTAGTTTCTTTTTTGAGGTTGCTCCTAGAAAATATTAAATTACATGTCTATTATTATTACTATTACTGTTATTATTTTGCAGCACTAGGGATTGAGTCCAGGGCTTTGCACATGTTAAGCAAGCACTTTGCTACTAAGCTACATTACCAGCTCTTTTAAAAGTTTTTCTAACAGGTGTGGTGAGTGAACACCTCTAATCCAAGCAGTTTAGGAGACTGAGACAGGAGGATTGCAAGTTCAAAGCCAGCCTCAGCAATTTAATGAGGCCCTGAGCAATTTAGGCAAATCCCTGTCTCAAAATTAAAATAAATAAATAAAGGGCTGAGGATGTGGCTCAGTGGTTAAGCACCCCTGGGTGCAATCCCATTTTTTTTTTCACTGCCAGGAATGGAACCCAAAGCCTCATGCACACTACATTAGCTCTCTACCTCTAAGCTACCCCTCACCCCCAGCTCCTAAATTTCTTTTGAGACAAGGTAGCCCAGGCTTTGATAGAATTTGTGATTCTCTTGCTTTGGCCTCCACAGTAGCTGAAATTAGGACTATGCCACCACATCCAGCCACCATATTTTATTTCCATAGGAAGAAACTGATGTAGACGATGCTTCTCCTTTTTCTGCCTCTTCCTTTTTCCTTTTTTTCCTCCCCTGCTACTGGGGATTGAACCCAGGGACACTCTGTCCCTGAGATACATCCCCAGCCTTTAAGTTTTTATTTTGAAACAGGGTCTTGCTAACTTGTCAAGGCTGACCTTGAACTTGCAATCCTTCTGCTTCAGCCTTTTGAGTACTAGGGTTAACATGGTGTACCACCATGCCCAGCATAAAACCATGCGTTATTGCCCTGACATTGATCTCCTGAGATCTGGAGGGTTCATTTCTGACCTCATTTCTAGCCATTCCCTATAGAAGCTTGGGCAAGTCATATCAGCCTCTGAGCCTCTGTATTCTCATCTGTGAAATGGAGAGAAAATTATATGGATATCTGCACCACAAAGTTTTTTTTGGAAAAAACGAAATAATACACCTGAAACACCCCTTATAGTTTAGCCTGCACCTTTATTGTCACTAGGTGGGTTCCTCTCCTCTCTACAAATAAGGATGGGCCACACCCAGCCTCCCTTTCAGAGGTTCAAAAGTAGCTGATACAAGCAATTTTACCATGTTGGGAGCCTGCTACCTTCTGCCCTCTGTAAGAGCAAGAGAGAATCCTAGAAGGGTAGAAGGGTTATGAGCCCATAGAGGGTGAAAAAAGCTCAAGGTCATAGCCTACTGCTGGTGTGGTTGCATGAAATTCAAAACAAAACTGTTTCTAACCTTGAGGTCATCAGGTGCAGCTCACTGCTCGACCAATAGCCACTGGTCCAGCCACTATAGAGGTAGGAACCTAGTTCTTTCCACCCTTTGAGGCTCAGTTGCCACACTTTAAGATGGCGACGTCCAGAGTCTGTAATCTGGTTTTCCACACTCAAGATGGCGACACGCTCGGGGCGCCGGTTCCGGTTCCGGTTCCCCAGGCCGGGACTGAACACGCTGAGCGCTCTGGGAGCAGCCATGGCGGATGGTCCTGTGGCGGAGCTGCTGTTGCGGCGGCTGGAGGCGGCAGATGGCGGCCTGGACAGCGCGGAGTTCGCAACCCAGCTGGGCGTGGAGCACCAGGCGGTGGTGGGCGCGGTGAAGAGCCTGCAGGCTCTAGGCGAGGTGATTCAGTCCTGCGATGCGGGGCCTCCTTGCTTCTGCCCCTGTAGCGCCCTTGCCTGCAGAGTTCTCCTTCCAGGCCAGACTCCCTCAGCCTGGTTAGGAGTAATTAAAATGGGCCCATCCGGGTGTGCGCTGACCGGGAGTGTGGAACGAGTGAGCCTCGGGCACTGGTGAATGTGCCTCAAGCGATGAACGTCCTTTGGGGGAGGATCAGCATGCTGTCGGAGGTGGGGGCGTTGTACTACAGTGGACTAGGAAGACGAGGCAGCAGCGTTACAATCTACTAAGGAGGTGCCAAGTGACCGGAGTGATTGGGGAGGCACAGGGAACCCAGCGGTGAGGTCTTAAGAGAGCGGCCCGCCTGGTGGGTCCGTCACCGTGAATGAAAGCCGTGGCGTGTAAGGGATCCACTCTAGGGTATTGGGGAGGGCGTCGGGAGGCCGAGGCAGGTGTCAGAGGAGAATCAGCATGGCCAGAATTGCAACTCTTTACCTCACAGGGGTACTGGGGAGCCACAGAAGTAGTAGCTAGTCAGATGTGGGTGACGTCTACATTATCTTTGGGAAGGACTGACAGGGAAGGGCTAGAGGCGAAGGCAGAGGCTGGCATGATGTCTGGCTGTGGGGAGGCAGCTGGAAAGGGGGCCACAGAGGAAGATTCAGGCCAAAGAAGGGGGAGCATGGGCAAATTCCATCTTGGGCAAATGGAGGGCCCTGGAATCATGGGATGAGGATGCCAGGAGGCTCAGTGAGCCACCGAGGGGGCTGGATTCATTAGGCCAGGATCTAATGAATTTTATTTGTCAAAGCAGTTTCGTGCCCATCCTACTCTCAGTTTTACTTGTCTGATCCTCTCCGTAAACCGAGGATTATTTTCATTTTGCAGATAGGACAACTCATGCTCAGCATAGATAAGTAACTTGATGAGTGTCACTAGAAGGGTCTGGTGAACCTGGATTTGAAATGTAAGTGCTCAGACTGCAAAGCCTGAGGGCCTCAGTGCAGAGGAGAGTTCAAAGTCACAATGTGTGGGTGACAGTGCTTTGATCCATGTGAAATTGATAGTTTTGTAGGTTAAAGAGAGTTAAGTAATGACAGTTTAATGGGAACCAAATGACAATAATAATAATAATAGAGTTAACCTAACATGTTAGTCACCCAATATTCTTTCTGTGTACGAATTCACTTACTCCTCAAGACTCATCAAGGTCCCTTAAGGATGAGAAAAGTCACTCAGGGCTGCAGGTGTAGCTCAGTGGTAGAGTACTTGTCTAGCAAGCACTGAAGATGTGAGTTCCATTCCCTAGCACTGGGGAAAAAAAAATTAGGGAGGTTAAGCAACTTGCCCAAGGTCACACAGCCACTGAAGAGCAGAACTGGGATTAAAAGAAAGGCAAACTAGAGCCTGTAGACCCTGTCCACTTGACCTTGTCTGTGTCTTTGTGACCTTGGACCTTTCCTCATCTTGGAGCCTCTGGTTTCTATTTGTAATGTGGACCTCCATTGCCCTTCTTTGGTACTCTAGGCACTGAAATACAAACACATAAATTAGAGTCAAATCTATTTACCTATGACCTTGAAGTATATCACAGTTTACAAAGTGATAGTAAACATATAGCCACACCCAGTGGTGTGTGCCTGTAGTCCCAGCTACTCAGGAGTTAAGGCTAGCATGGGGAGCCTAGTGACAATGTTCCTGTGTGGCATGTTGGGGGTACTGAGAGGGAGCTGTCCAGCCCACGCCCAGCCACGGGTGTGGCTCATGTAACACTGTCACTGTTACAGGAGAGAAAAGGAGGCGGGGCAAAGGGAAATCCTCCCTGTGGGGTCTTTTGGCCAGAAAGTGGTACAGCTGGCGTGTCAAACAGCTTTAAAAGCTGTTCTTCAAATCTCAGGCCCAGTTCCTCTGAGAGGGCCACCTGGCTCTGAACCCATCCCTGCCTTCCTCTCTCCTGTCCCCATTTCTGTGCAGGTCATTGAGGCTGAGCTTCGCTCTACCAAGCGCTGGGAGCTTACTGATGAGGGTGAGGAAATTGCCCGGGAAGGTAGTCATGAGGCCCGGGTGTTTCACAGCATCCCCGCAGAGGGCCTGGCCCAGAGTGAGCTCATGGTAGGAGTCTGGGGAGCAGGACCTAGGGAGGTGAGGGGGTGACGGTCGCCTTTGTGCCATACTTACTGTAACCTAACTCCCCCAGCGCCTGCCCAGTGGCAAAGTGGGTTTCAGCAAGGCCATGTCCAACAAGTGGATCCGTGTGGACAAGAGTGCAGCGGAGGGGCCCCGTGTGTTCCGAGTGGTGAGTTCCTGCAGATGTGTGGGCAGGTGGCAGACAGTGGGCCCCTGGCCTTCACACCCCTTGCTGTGGCAGGTGGACAAGGTGGAGGACGAAGTGCAGCGACGACTCCAGTTGGTCCAGGGCGGGCAGGCTGAGGAGCTGGGTGAGAAGGAGAGGAGCGAGCTCAGGAAGAGGAAGCTGCTGACTGTAGTGTGAGTGGCGCCCCCCCAGGCCAGGCCCCCACTTCCTGTGTGGCAGGTTGGGGGTACTGAGAGGGAGCTGTCCAGCCCACACCCAGCCATGGATGCTGCTGGGCTCACGCAACCCTCCTGCCAAGTGCTGTCTCCCAGTGGCCTTCCATGCAAGGTGTGCCACCACCTCCCTGCTTGTGTGTCATTAGCAATTGAACCCAGGGCGGTGTCCACCAGGCTACAGCCCCAGCTCTTTATTTTTTGAGATGGGGTTTCCCTAAATTGCCAGGCTGGCTTCACACTTGGAATCCTCCTGCTTCAGCCTCCTGAGTTGCTGGGATTAAAAGCATGTGTCACACATTCAGCTGCGTGTGTCACCTTAAATAGGCAACCCTGACATCCTCCCTTCCCCACTGGAGTTTCACAAAAGCCCCTCACTGCTGGTATCCATGTCTCCTGCCCTGGCCCTCTCCTTCACAGTACTTAGCACTGCTTGAAGTCCAGGGGATGTGCCCCACAGCTCTGGGGGCCGGGGCAGGCTGGGAGTTCTGCTCTCGGTGGCCTAGAGAGCACACAGGAGCTGGGCTCAAGTCCAGGCTCTGCCACTTACCAGTAGTGTGACTCAGCCAAGGCATCCAGCCCTTACCAGCCTCAGTTCCCTTCTCACAGGATTGTGGGGTGGCATTAGTGGAGCAGAGCCTGCATGGGGAATAAACTCTTCCCAGCTGTATGCTTAGCACCTTGAATTGACCCTGACACACATTTGGGCTTTTTTTTTTTTTGTATCAGGGATTGAACCTGGGGAGCACTTTACCACTTAGCTGTATCCCCAGCCCTTTTTATTTCTTATTTTGAGGCATAGTTTCACTAAGTTGCTTAGGGCCTTACTAAATTGCTGGGGCTGGCCTTGAATTTGCCATCCTCCTGTCTCAGCCTCCCAAATCACTGGGGTTCTAAGTGTGTACCACTGTGCCTGGTTCTTTATAAGTGTTTGTTGAATGAATATGTGAACAAACACAGGGATAGGTGGTAGCCACGTAAGAGTATTTCAGGTGGAAATAAATATCAGGAAGAACATGAAGCAGTCGTCCAGGTGGTATGGCACATATCTGTAATTTTAGCTACTCGGGAGGCTGAGGTAGATCTTTTTGAGTCTAGGGGTTCCAGACCAGCCTGGGCAACATAACAAGACCCTTTGTCGACATAGGTGTGGTGGTGCACATCTATAATTCCAGCTACTCAGGAGGCTGAAGCAGGAAGATTGCAAGTTCAAGAACAGCCTAGGCAGATTAGTGAGACCCTTTCTCAAAATAGAAAGGGCTGAGGGTGTAGCTCAGTGGTAGAGCCCCTTGTTCAAACACACACAAAACAAAGCCAAGTGACTTGGCAATGGTTTTAGAACTGGCTTCAGATGGAAGATCAAGGAGAACCTGTTGATGACAGTGGCCTCCCCTCCCCTTTGGCTGCAGGACCCTGAAGACTTACTGGGTGAGCAAGGGCAGTGCCTTCAGCACCAGAATCTCCAAGCAGGAGGCAGAACTGAGCCCGGAGATGATCTCCAGGTAGCAGTGGCTCCAGGGCTGGGGGCAGGTGGAAGCCAGGGAGAGGGGTGGGCCTCCCTCACCAGGCCTGTGCCCTCCGCATCCTCCACAGTGGTTCCTGGCGGGACCGGCCCTTCAAGTCCTACAACTTCGCTGCCCGTGGCGTGCTCCCTGACAGCGGTCACCTACACCCTCTGCTCAAGGTCCGCTCCCAGTTCCGACAGATCTTCCTGGAGATGGGGTGAGCACAGGGCTTGGGGCCGGGGGCGTAGCCACTAGGGGCAGGCAGGGCAGTCACCGCATTTCCCCACAGGTTCACCGAGATGCCGACTGACAACTTCATTGAGAGCTCCTTTTGGAACTTCGACGCTCTCTTCCAGCCCCAGCAGCATCCAGCACGTGATCAGCATGACACCTTCTTCCTACGAGGTGCGTCAGCCCTGGGTGCCTGGCCTGGTTGGGATCTTTAGCCTGTGGCCGTCCCATTTTATAAAATGAGATTTGCCCTCCATGTGGCCAACAAAGCCCCTGGGAGCCTGTTCATCAATCTTTTGTGATGGCCTTGTTCCACTGACCCTAGTCTCTGCTCTTCCCTGATAGTGCCAGGCTGTGCCCACCTCAGGGCCTCTGCTCATACTGTAACATCCACTGAGACCTGTTTTGTCTGAGATCTTTATGGCTCAGTGGTACAGCACTTGCCTAGCCTGTGTAAGGACCTCAGTTCCATCTCCAGCACTGCATAAAAAATTAATAAACAAGGACATCCTGATATATCCCCCTTCCCTGCTCCACCCTATAGCCCTGAGTTTGTGTGTGTGTTGCTACGGGGAGAACCCAGGGCTTTGCACACGCTAGGCAAGTGCTGTAGTCCTGGGCCACATCCCCAGCCACCAGCCCTAGTCTTCATTATAGTTTCCTTATTTCTTCTCTCCCCCTCCTCCCTCCCTTCCTTTTACACTGTCCTTGATGTCATCTAAAATTGAGTGACTTTCCACAATGGTGGATGTCTCCCCCACCAGATCAGACAAGGTCCTTGGGTACGCATTACCCGATCTGCAGCAATGAAGTCACTGTCATCTTTGTTGTGGCACCCAAAACCTACTAAGCACTCATTATATACCAGTCACTGTTCTGATCTTCCACCAGCTACAGAAAAGTAGTACTGTTAGCCCTCTTTTATAATTGAAACTGAGGCACAGAGAGGGACCATCCTTGTCCTGGTTCGCACAGCTTTTAAGAGCTGGAGTCAGTATTCATTGGGTCTCAGACTTTCCAAGAGCGAGCACCAAATTTGTGTCTCTGGAAGGGAATCTTAAGCATTTGCACAACTGGGGGCCGAGGTTGGCTCAGTGGTAGAAAACTTGCTTAGCATGTGCAAGGCCTTGGGTTCCGTCTTAAGCTGTGTGGTGAGGCAGGCGGTAAATGCCACAAGGAGTTGTGTGTGTTTGTGAGTGTGGCGGGCTGAGGAGGAAGGGGTGGTTGCCGTCAGGTTCAAGTCTGTTTAGCAAAGACTGGTGAGGGAGGGGCTGTGTTGGGAGTGAAAGCTCCAGGGAGAGGGAATGGCCCGTGCAAAGCTGGACTGTGCCTGGTGTGCCCACTGGGACGCCTGTGACTGGAGTTGGTGATCAAGCAGGAGTGTGAGCAGACAGGGCAGGGAGGCACTGGACAGGGCTGTGGGAAGACTTTCTCCAAGCAAGCGAGGAGCCACTGAGGGTCCTGGGAGAGAACTGTGGCAGGTCGAGCATGCCAGGCACCCTCTGGCTGCTGCCACCACCACTGTGCACACCTGAAGCAGTGGCTCTGTGAGAATGTTCGTGGACCAACCAGATGGCACTCTGTCCTGCCAGATCCTGCCGAGGCCCTGCAGCTCCCAATGGACTACGTCCAGCGAGTCAAGCGGACCCACTCCCAGGGCGGCTACGGTTCACAGGGGTGAGGCAAGAGCAGGACCTCAGGGTTGCGGAGGGGAAGATGTTGGGGGCTTGACCACAGTGTGACTTTGCTCCTGAAGGTATAAGTACAACTGGAAGCTGGACGAGGCTCGGAAAAACCTGCTGCGCACACACACCACAGCGGCCAGTGCCCGGGCCCTGTACCGCCTCGCCCAGAAGGTGCGGCTCGGCAAGGGCCGGGGGCGGGCGGCTAGTGCCGCTGCTCTGTGGGCTTTCTGACCCCAGGCCCTATGGGCCTGGCTGTTGCCCCCAGAAACCCTTCACGCCGGCCAAGTACTTCTCCATTGACCGCGTGTTTCGGAACGAGACCCTGGATGCCACGCACCTGGCCGAGTTCCACCAGATCGAGGGCGTCGTTGCTGACCACGGCCTCACCCTGGGACACCTCATGGGTGTCCTGCGGGAGTTCTTCTCCAAGTTGGGTGAGCAGGCGACTGGCCCCGTGGTGCTGAGGGCACTGGGAGGGTGCTGGGGTCACCAGCCTGACTCCCACCCCCACAGGTCTCACCCAGCTGCGCTTTAAGCCCGCCTACAACCCTTACACTGAGCCCAGCATGGAGGTGTTCAGCTATCACCCAGGTACCCCTGGCTGAGCCAGGTCCCCCACACTGCCGAGCCCCCAGCTCACTTGCCCAACTCACTGCCAGGCCCAGCCAGCCACATGCTGCCCTGTCTTCTGTATCCCACACCCACAGGCCTGAAGAAGTGGGTGGAAGTGGGGAACTCTGGGATCTTCCGCCCTGAGATGCTGCTGCCCATGGGGCTCCCTGAGAATGTGTCGGTCATTGCCTGGGGCCTCTCCCTGGAGCGGTGAGTACTGTTTGGCTGCCTCAGGCAACTTCATGTGTTCTTTCCTGGGCAAGCTTGCGTGCCTGGCCCTGGGCTGTGAACGGAGAGCTCACAGCCCTGCCTCCTCTGAGCAGGGGACCAAGGATGACTAGCAAGATAAATAAGTAAACTTAGTAAATGAAATGAGATCCATAAAACCAGAGTGTCCAAGGACAGCAAGTATTAGCAAGAACAAAGCAGAAGGGCTAAGGAGACTGTCGAGGACGGCTTTGTGGAGCACTTGGCCTGAGCAGGTTGGAGATAGAAGGGGTGAGCCAGGGGGATCTCTGGGAAGGTGTTCCACACAGCAGGTGGAGCCAATGCAAAGGAGGAAGGGGGGAGAGGGGGAAGAGACGAAGAGAGGAGGCAATGTGCAGGACCTTGTGGGCCACAGAGAAGACGTTGGCCTTTACTTTGAAGAAGCTGAGAACCTTCAGAGAAGTTCTGAGCAGAGAGCATGACTTGACCTAGTTTTAAACTGTGACCCTTCCTCCCCAAGCCCAACGATGATCAAGTATGGCATCAACAATATCCGGGAGCTGGTGGGCCACAAGGTGAACCTGCAGATGGTATATGACAGTCCCCTGTGCCGCCTGGACACGGAACCAAAGACCCCACAGACCCAGGCTGCGTGACACAGGCTGCCCCAGGATCGCCCATCCTCCCTGGGTCCCTGCCGCCCAGCCTTTTTACATTCTTCATCAGTGACCCCCTTGTATTTATGAGGCCTCCGTGAGGCCAGTCCTCCTCCCACCTCTGCACCCATCCCAGAAGCAGGCCCCAAGGGGTGGGTGGCAGCTTCCTTCTGTTGGCCTTCTGTGGTCTGCTGATCTTATGAGGTGGGCCAGGGGAGCCCTGGAGCCCAGCTGCTGTTAATAAAGTGGGCACTTGCCCTCATCTGGTGCCTTTCTTTAGGGGCCCCATGTGTTGCTCCATGGGGAGGACATGGGATAATGGGTCCCTGGATGTGGGTGGTGGAGATGAGTAGGGGGACCTGGGAGGCCCTGCCGGCTCCACCAAGCCCTCCTCTAGGTGAACGGAATAGAAACACCCTGTGCCGGGACGCCACTGGAGATCCAGAGGCCAAGCTCCCCGCCAGGCAAGGAGGCTGGTTCTCTGTGTGTGGTACAGGGGACTGAGCCCAGGGCCCACCACGTGCTAGGAAGCGCCCTACTGAGCTACAACCCAGCCTTTTTTAAAAAATTGAAATGGGGTCTTGCCGAGTTGCCCAGGCTGGCCTCAAACTTGTAATTCTCCTGTCTCAGGTTTTCAGGTAGCTGGGGTTATAGTATATGCCATGGCACTTAGCTGGAATTTTTTTTTTTTAAGGAAATAAAGTAGTTTTATGTTGAGCCAAATATGAGTGACCATGGCCTTTCTGGAAACGTGGATTAAAGTTACCCTGAAAGGCATGTTACTGCAGCAGAGGTTACAGCAGGCAGCTTTAATATTCACAGAACAAAAGAAAGTCATAAATTAACACGTTTACCAAATGCACTGGTGGGAGCCTCAGGAGCTGGGCTACTGCAAGGGGGAAATCTCTTCAGGTTTGAGGTGGGATCTGATAGCATCGGAGCTTTGGGGTTGGTGGAGGCTGGAGGTCTGCTCAACTCAGGGTGCCTTCCAAGAGGTTTACCTAATAGGACAACGTTGGGTCAGGTACAGAGGCTGGAGGTCAATGGCTACTGAAGGGATTAAGATGTGGACCCGCAAGTCCGTCTGTCCAGTCAGCAGGGCCAGTGTGAAGCAGCTTCTCCACAGAACTTAGGTTCACAAAGAGGGGATTTCTTTGGCTTCTTTTACTTCATTTGCAAAATAAAGAACGCTGAATAAAATATCTGTGGTGGGATTTTAAGCTCTAAAGATCTAGAATTAATCAGTGGAGAGGTGGTAAGAAGAGCACAGTGGCCAAAATCAGACGGACAAAACGGCTCAAACACCTGCACCACCAATTACATTTTCCAACACCCAAACCAATCACGATTCTCTGTAAACCAACTGGTTGTTAAAGTATTCAACTCAGTTCTGAAACTAACTACCCATAATTAGCACAGGCTCCACAGGCCAAGGGCTCAATTGAGTAGGTCTGTCCCATCAGAGGCCAGTCTCAAGCCCGGGGGCTACTTGTACTTCTGACCTCGGGTTCCATCACCTCCTCAGGTTCAATAGTTTGATAGGATGCTCAGAGAACTCAGCATGCTTAGCTTACATTAATGACTCAGGGACAGACAAATGGAAGAGATGCATAGGGCGAGATGGGGCTGGGGGTGGTGACATGTAGCTTCCAAGTCTTCTCATGTACTCTTTGGTACCCTCCAGGTATCAAACTGGAAGTTCTCTGAACATAACTGTTCAGGAGTTTTGTTTGTTTTCAATACTGGGGACTAAATCCAGGGCCCCATAATACTAGGCAACCACTCTCACTAAGCTACCCCTCAGCTCTTTTTATTTCAAGACAGGGTCTTGCTAAATTGTGGAGGCTGGCCTTGAACTTGTGATCATCCTGCCTCAGCCTCTCAAGAGAAGTTGGTTTTCAAGAGTTTTTAATAGAGCTTAATCTCCAGTCCTCTCCCATTCTGCCCCTTCAAGGAGGTCAGTGGGTGGGGCTGAAAGTTCCAGTCCTGGTTCACTAGGTCTTTCTGCCAACCAGCACAATCTAGACACCCCACCCTATGTCACCTTATTAGCATAACAGGATTATTTTAGGCAGGGAATGGGGAGATGCTAGGGATCAAACCCAGGGCTTTGCACATGCTTAACAGTAAGCCTTTGAGATTTTTCTGTGTCATCCTCAAATCTTCAAACCCCAGGCTGCAGGAAGTGCATTTTGTTCAACTTGTGGCTATTTGCTGAATCTTTACTTTTTACCAGATGTTTTTCCCTGGAGCTTTTAAACAGCCTCATTTTAGCTTTGTATCACCCTGGTAATAGAATGAGGATAGATTCCGAGATTGAGTGGCACTTTTGTGATCACACTGCTGGTAAGAGTCCAGATTCAAACTCACCTCCAGAGTGTGGGCATCAAGATGTGTCCTAGTCAGGGTGTGGCTATGGACAGATGCTGAGGCAAAACAGGTGAACAATGTCATCAGATTCATGCTACATCCTCCCTGACATGGACATTGCAATATATCACTGGTGAGAAGCTCCATCTCTATTTTTATTTTGAGACAAGAATAAATTTCTGAGGCTGGCCTCAAACTTTCGATCCTTCTGCCTCAGCCTCCTGAGTAATTAGGATTATAAATATGTACCACCTTGCTGGGCTCCTCAAACTCTATCCAACAAAACCTCAAAACCTCCCACAGATCTCTGGTTTCCTGCTGGAAGACCTCATGGCTGTTCCTTTACATCGACTGCTTTCATCTTACGACCTTTGCATACACCTGTTGGAACCTTTTGCTCATTTGTGTGTGTGCATGGGTGTGGTGCTGGGGATGAGTCCAGGGCTGTGCACATGTGAGGCAAGTGCTCTACCATTCAGCTACATCGCAACATATACCACCCCTTTTCTTGAGATGGGTTTTATTATGTCGTCCCACAGGCCCTCCATTTCTTAGCCTTAGCTTCCCCCAGTAGCTGGGACACAGGCATGTACCACCAAGCCCATTCCCATTTTTAAAACCATCTTACTGGGTTGCAAAAGTTCTTTGTAAATGCAGTTTACAAGTTCTTTCATAAACAAATATATCTGCAAATATTTTCTCCCCATCAGGCTTCCTGTACTAACTGTTGATTACTGCTGTTTCTGCTGTTATTAATAAGCGGCGCCACACTGTGGAGGCAAACCCCACATTGCTTTCAAGGAGCTTCTAGTTGAACTAATTTACAGTTGTAAATGTACAACTCAATACTGGGATCTAAACCCAGGGGCGCTCTACTGCTGAGCTGCATCCCCATCCCTTTTTGAGACAGGGTCTCGTTAAGTTGCCCAAGCTGGCCTCGAACTTACCATCCTCCCGCCTGAGCCTCCGAGTAGCTGAGGTTACAGGTGTGCGCCACCAAACCTGGCTGCATAAACTTTCACACCGAGGATAATAGGGAGCCATGGTCATAACCAAGGGACGTCAAGGGCCGGAATTCTTTATTGGAAAGGTTTTTCCACATAGAACGGACGAAATGAGCCGTATAGAATGAACATCACGCACACCGCTCCCCACAACCCGGGCTCCACGAGGCGCCCTGGAGCTTCCCGCATGCGCAGACCTAGGTGCTAAAAACACCTCCAGCTGCGCGCGCAACTCCTGGACAGCTCAACCGCCACTTAACCGCCAGTCACACCGGCTGCGTGCGCAGGTTCTCGGTGGGGGCGGGACCTGGAGGGTGAGCTTCAGCACGTGCGCTGGTGCCGGGGGCGGGGCCGGCGCGTGCGCAGAGAGCGGGAACCTAAAGGCGGGAAAAGGATGGAGCGACCAGGAGTAGGCAGAACTGTTTTCCTTCGCGCGGGCGGAGGGCGGACGGGCAAGGAACGGCCGCGATCCCGGGCTTCCCCAGCAGAACTGATCCCGGCCACTCCTTTCCTACCATCGGGGTCGCCTCTCGCCGGGCCCGGCGCCGATTCCCGACTGACCGGCCAGGCCCTGACTGACTGACGAAGGGACGGTGACTGACGTGCAGACAGCCTTGGCCAGGACAGACTTAGGCGCATGGCGCGCGGCAGCAGCAGGGTAGAAAGAGGCCCAGACACCCGTGCTCTGCCCCTGTTTCTTTTCTTCTGCTCCTTTTCCTACCTCTTCTCCTTCCTGGAAGGACTGGAGCCGACACACAGGCCATTTGGCAGCCCAGGCCCCACGGCGCCCCTCCCAGAGCCTGTGCCCTCACCCCGGCCCCTCCAGGTCTCCCCGCCGGGTCCCCGGCCCCCCACGGCCCCCACCCCGCTGCTCCGTCCCCGCGGCACCCACCCGGCTCTGCCCGTCTCTTCCGCGGGTCCCCACCTCGCACACACGGAGGTGCCCAGGGTCGAGGCGGGGGACTCGACGCCCGATGCCCAGACGCCCGCGGCTTCTCAGGCGCCGGCTGTGCCCGCAGGTGGACATGCCCCACGTAGAGTTCAAGGACCAGGAGCCGCAGGCGATGGGGGAGCACCAGCAAGGCCAGGAGCACGGCGAAGAGGAAGCTGGTGGAGGGTCAGCTAGGTGAGGAGACCCGCCCAGCGGTCCTTCGGGTCACCCGTTCCTTCCACAGGGTTCCTCCGGTGTTTGTCCTGGTGCTCTTGTTCCACCGGTGGAGGGGACATCCTCCATGTGCCAGGCACAGTTCTGGGAGCTGGGGACGCAGAATGAGCTGACCCCCTAGAGGAGGAGACAGAAAGTCCCCACTATGCATCCCTCTCCTGGGCATCCTCGGGTTTGTTCAGGATGCCCCCTCAGGTACCCAAAGCTGCATGTGCCCAAGTCCTTCGTGGAACGGTATGTTTGAGTAGAACCTACTCACACCTCCCTTGACTTTAGGTCATCTCTGGGGACTTATAATACCTAACGCAGGGACCCCCTGGAGATAGTGCAGGTTTTGGTTCTAGACCACTGCAGTAACATGGATATTGCAATAGTCACACTAATTTTTTTATTTACAGTGCATATCAGTTAGATTTATATGACACTGTAGCCTAAAAAGTGTGCAATGACATCGTGGCAGAAAAAGATAACTTGTATACTTTAATTAAAAATACTTGGGGCTATAGCTCAGTGGTAGAGCCCTTGCCTCACTGTGAAGCACTGGATTCGACCCTCAGCACCACTTAAAAAAATAAATAGATATGGGCTGGGGATATAGCTCAGGTGGTAGAGTGCTTGACTCGAATGCAAAGAGTTCAATCCTCAGCACCACACACACACACAAAAAAAAAAAAAAAAAAAACTTAATCGTGCAAGGCACTGTGGCCCACGCCTGTAATCCCAGCGGCTTGAGAGGCTGAGGCAGGAGGATCACAAGTTAAAAGCCAGCCTAAGCAACTCATTGAAACCCTGTCTCTAAATAAAATTTGTTTATAAAAATGGGCTGGGGATGTGGCTCAGTGGTTGAGTGTCCCTGAGTTCAATCCCAGTACCTAAAAAAAAAAAAAAAAAAAAACAGACACACAATTTCTTTGAGGCCCAATAAAGGGAAGTCCAATTAAATGATATTTGCCTATAGAATTTAAATGCTATGTAAATAGTTGTCATAGTGTATTGTTTAGGTAATAATAGCAAGGGAAAAGATCTACATATTCATCAGAGATGAATTTTAAATATTTTTACTTTTTTAAAAAAATTTTTTAAAGAGAGAGAGAAATTTTTAATATTTATTTTTCAGTTTTTCGGCGGACACAACATCTTTGTTTGTATGTGGTGCTGAGGATCGAACCCAGGCCACACACATGCCAGGCGAGCCCGCTACAGCTTGAGCCACATCCCCAGCCCTTTACTTTTTTTGATATTCAAAATATGTATAAAATTTTTTTGTGGTGCTAGGGATCAAACCCAGGGCTTTGTGCATGAGGCAAACACTCTACCAACTGAGCTTATTCCTGGCCCTCTTGTGCTATTTTGAATTTATTTCCTTTTTTGTCTGGTTTCTGTTCTTGTGACTAAAAGGCTCAGGGGTCACTCCAGTAAAACTGGGCTGACTGGGGCTGCACAAAATAACCACAAAAGAGACACAAATATCTTTTTGTTTGGGGTCGCTGTGACGGCTCCTCTGACCTTAAGGGTCTGCAGGAAGAGAGACAGCAAGAGCAAGCGCTGACCCCTTTTATTGAGGAGAAGTTATTTAAATGAGGCAAGGGGTCAGGTTTCAGGGGGCTGAGTCTATCTTCACGATGTCCACTGTCAGCAGGTTGACTGACACCTGGGTAGGCCACACCTAAGGGCACAGTAAGAGAAGGGGACACACACAAGGCACTTCCATGGAAGATTCTATCCTAAACAGGGCAAGGGGTTATATTACAAAGGAACAGGTGAGCATAGCTTCATCCATGGGGCTGTAGCAAGACACACCCATGCACGAGACATGGACCCTCACACCCAAGAAGGGTAGGGAAAGCTCTGTCACATTTCTGCGACTGAGTGCCTCAGCACCCAGCCGGGGAGTGTGACTCAGTCACATGTAAGGTTGGTCTCCCACACTTTTTCTTTTTATGGTACTGGGTATCAAAGCCAGGGCATTGTCACATATGCTAGGCAAGTGCTACATCCCCAGTCCCTATTCTGAATATTTTTAATCTGTGATTGTTTGAATCCATGGATGCAAACCTGTGGATATAGGAGGGCTTACTCTATCGCAGTCAGAGTATGAGGGGTAAATGGGGAGCCAGTGATGTGGCCAGTGTAGATCAGATGGTCAAGAAAGTTTTCATGGAGGAGGAGAAAAGTGAACCTTTGGGTAGGGAAGAAACTGCTCCAGGCAGAGAATAGTCACTGGAAAGGCACAGAAGGAGAACTGTGCTGGAGTAGCATGAATCAAGAGGGAAGTGGTCATATGCAGACTTCGGATGTTAACTGCCTATGTGATGGTTTAGAGTAGAGGAATGACACCCTGTGACTACAGCAGGAGTCAGTAGACTATTGATAGTAAAGTTTTAAAAAAATATATTTATTGTTTATTTTTTTGTGGTGCTAAGGATCCAACCCAGTGCCTCACACATGCTAGGCTCTGTCACTGAGCCCCAGCCCCAGCTCGATAGTAGAGTTTTACTGAAATATAACCATGCTTGTTCCTTTACTTGTTGTCTGTGGCTGCTTCCTGCAGAGTTGAGCTTTTCCAATAGAGACAGCATAGGCTATAAAGTTGAAATGATTTACTGTGTAGTCCTTTATAGCAGTTTGTCCTCTGTTGGACTAAAGTATTAAAAGGCTCCCTCTGGCTGCTGTGTAGAGAATAGATTGTGGAGGCAGGGGAACCCATGAGGAAGCAATTGGAATGATCTAGGTATAAGATGACTGTGACTTGGCCCTGAGTGGATCTATGGCAGTAGTAACTGATCAGATTCTGGATATATTTATAAGAAAACAGAACTGACAGAAATTGCTAATAGATGAGATGCGGGGTGAGAGAAAGAGAGATGTCAGTGATGGCTAAAAAATGTTTTTTTCCTGCACTTTTATTAATTCATCACATATTTATTGAGGGCTGGGTTGTGGCTTATTGGTAGAGCACTTGCCTAGCATGTGTGAGGCACTGGGTTCGATTCTCAGCACCACAAATAAATAAATAAATAATAAAGGTCCATTGACAAGTAACATTTTTTTAAAAAAGTATTTATTGAAATACAATTTATCAAAAAAAAAAAAAAATAAAAAATAAAAAAAAAAAAAATAAAAAAAAAGAAATACAATTTATCTGGCTTGGACAGACAGATACAGTTCTGTATGCTTGGAATATAAGAGTGAAAAAAATCAGAATTCCTACTCTCTTAGAAATTAGTTTCTTTCTCTTAGTAGTATGCATTTTTGTGTGTGTGTCTTGATAACTTATTTCTTTGTAGTGCTGAATAATATTCTCTTTCATGGATGTACCCTGGTTTGTCAATTCACCTACTGAAGGACAACTTGATTGCTTCCATATTTTAGCAATCATGAATAAAGCTTCTAAAAAGAACTAAACACTACCAGCTCAGCCCAGATTCGGCTCCCAGATCTTTTTTTTTTTTTTGTGTGTGTGTGTGTGTGTGTGTGGTGCTGGGGATTGAACCCAGGGCCCCTGTGCATGTGAGGCAAGTACTCTATCAACTGAACTATATCCCCAGTCCCTAATTTTTTAATTTTTATTTATTTAATTTTTAGTTGTAGATAGACACAACACCTTTATTTTTATGTGGTTTTGAGGATTGAACCCAGTGCCTCACCTGTGCTAGGCAAGTGCTGTACCACTGAGGTACAACACCAGCCCCTGAAGTTTTCAATTTTAATGAAATACAATTTATCAGCTTTTTCTTTCATGGATTATGCTTTTGATGTTTTAGCTAAGAAGTCAACTTCAAACCCAAGGTCATCTAATCTGGAAATCCAAAACAGTCCAAATTCTGGAAAAAAAATAAATAAATAAATAAATAATTATTTATTTATTTATTTAGCAGTGTTAGGAATGAAATTCAGGGCCTTGTATAGTCCTACTTGAAACTTTTTGAGTGTTATGCAGGCATTCCCAAAATTTTAGATTTTAGAGCATATGAAATTGGATTTTTAGATTAGGGATGCTCAATCTATAACAGCACTATTGAGATATAAGTCACATGCCATACAATTTACCTACTTGAAGTATACAATTTAATTGTTTTTAGTATATTCATAGAGCAATACAACCATAAGTTACCTTTAAAACATTTTTATTGTTCCAAAGAAATAAACCTCATATTCCTTAGCTTTAACCCTTAATCCCTGCACCTACCCCAGCCTGTAACTACTCATCTGCTTTCTGTGTCTGTAGAGTTGCCTGTTATGGACATTTCATATAAACAGAATCATATATTTGTGGTCCTTTGTGACTGCCTTTTGGGGGCAGTGGTACTGGACACTGAATCCAGGACCTCAGTCATGTTAAGCAAGTGCTGTGCCACTCAGCTACATCCCCAGCTACATCTTCCAGCCCTGTGTCTGTCTTGTTTGACTTAGCACACACCTGTAATCCCAGTAGCTTGGAAGGCTGAGATAGGAGGATGGAGAGTTCAAAGCCAGCCTCAGCAACGGTGAGGCACTAAGCAACTCAGTGAGACCCTGTCTCTAAATAAAATACAAAATAGGGCTGGGGATGTGGATCAGTGGTTGGGTGCCCCTGAGATCAATCCTGGTACCAAAAAAGAACCCAAAACTAAAGGACTTCATTTACCCCCCCCCCCAAAGTATGAAGGATTGAACCCAGGGATTTCTACCACTGAGTACATCCCCAGTCCTTATTTTTACTTTATTTTAAAACAAAATATTTTGGGGGATGGATGTTTAAATTTCTTTTGAGTACACATATACAGCCAGCCTTCTGTATCCTCAAGTTCCATATTGGCAGTTCTGTGTCTTCAAATTCAATCACCAAGAATGGAGACTATTAGGGGAATAAATGTCATCTGTACTGAACAGGTACAGACATTTTTTCCTTATCATTTTTCTCTAAACAATACATCATAACAATTATTTTGCATTAGGTATTTCAGGTATTCTAGAGATTA